TCCCCTACAACCACTGCTCCACCCTGTTTACCACTGGGTATAAAAGACTTACTGAAGGAGGATGCCAGGCTTTTCTTTTGAGGCTTTTTGGTTGAGTGTTTTGTTTTGTGGCTTTTTGTCTTTGCTTTGAGGCTTTTGCTTTTGGCTTTCTGATGGGGAAGGCTTTTTGGTGTGGGAGGCTTTGAAAGAGAAAAGATTGCTCAAGGGAAAAGAATTGCTGAAGAATTGCTGAAGGGGAATTGCTAGCAAGCTTGAGGGCTGAGACTTTAAGAAAAAGAGAACTTTATATATAGGGTTTAGAAAAGCTAAGCTAAAGAAAAGCTAAAGAGAACAGTGTAAGTCTAAGGACCAGGACTTTAAGAGTTATGCATGTGCAGATTTTAGCATGGCTGTTGTTTGAAAGTCTGAGCATGGAGGCTTTAATAAAACTAAAGAGGGATAAAGGAAATGCGAATTAAAACCATGCTAAGATTCCACCTCACCCCTGTTAGAATAGCCATCATCAGCAACACCACCACCAACAGGTGTTGGTGAGGATGCTGGGGCAAAAGGAACCCTCGTACACTGTTGGTGGGAATGTAAACTAGTACAACCACTCTGGAAAAAAATTTGGAGGCTACTTAAAAAGCTAGACATTGAGCTACCATTTGATCCAGCAATACCACTCTTGGGGATATACCCAAAAGACTGTGACACAGGTTACTCCAGAGGCACCTGCACACCCATGTTTACTGCAGCACTATTCACAATAGCCAAGTTATGGAAACAGCCAAGATGCCCCACCACTGACGAATGGATTAAGAAAATGTGGTATCTATACACAATGGAATTTTATGCAGCCATGAAAAAGAACGAAATGTTATCATTCGCTGGTAAATGGATGGAATTGGAGAACATCATTCTGAGTGAGGTTAGCCTGGCTCAAAAGACCAAAAATCGTATGTTCTCCCTCATATGTGGACATTAGATCAAGGGCAAACACAACAAGGGGATTGGACTTTGAGCACATGATAAAAGCGAGAGCACACAAGGGAGGGGTGAGGATAGGTAAGACACCTAAAAAACTAGCTAGCATTTGTTGCCCTTAACGCAGAGAAACTAAAGCAGATACCTTAAAAGCAACTGAGGCCAATAGGAGAAGGGGACCAGGAACTAGAGAAAAGGTTAGATCAAAAAGAATTAACCTAGAAGGTAACACACACACAGGAAATCAATGTGAGTCAATGCCCTGTATAGCTATCCTTATCTCAACCAGCAAAAACCCTTGTTCCTTCCTATTATGGCTTGTACTCTCTCTACAACAAAATTAGAAATAGGGACAAAATAGTTTCTGCTGGGTATTGAGGGGGTGGGGGGGAGAGAGGGGGTGGAGTGGGTGGTAAGGGAGGGGGTGAGGGTGGGAGAAATGACCCAAGTCTTGTATGCACATATGAATAATAAAAGGAAAAAAAAAAAAGCTAAAGAGGCAGTACAAGTCTGGGGGCAAAGACTTTGAGAGATTATGCTAAAGAACAGCCAAGAGAAAACATGGGACAGAGCAAGTCTAAGGAAAGTGGTTTGAAGCAAGGTTTTAAAGACTTTAGAAGCAAGGTTTTAAATAAGTGTAAAGGAGTTAGGCCTTAAAGAATAAACATGGAGAAAGCAATGAGGGTTGTGTGTCTCCACCTGAACACCGAACACAGCTGATCCCACTTTCTGTCTATCCTGTGTCTTTTCTGCATCTCCAGTTGCCCCAAGTTAGGTTCAGTAATACCCAGGAGCGAAAGAAAGCTCACTCCAACAAAGGATCGAGAGAAATAGCTTGCTCCACTCCTGTTGATCCATTCTTTAGAAGTGTTGTTAACAAGAGTTTAGAGATTTTCCTATTACCCTTTGTTATTGATTTCCAGGTTACTGCATTATGGTCAGAGTACATACTTTTATCATAACAATTCTTTTGAATTTGCTTTACGATCTAGGATATTGTGTACCTTGATGAATGTTACATGTGTATTCTGTTGGTGGAGTATTTCATGTCAATTAGATTCAGCTAGTTGATGGTCAGTTCTGATTTCCCTGCTGAATTTTTGGCCTATTCACTTATTACTGACAGAATAATGTTAAAGTCTACAAGTATAATTGTACATATCATTAGGATTCTTATGTCTTCTTAGTGAATTGATCCTTCTATTTCTTCAAAATGTCTCTCCTTATCTCTGGTAATTTTCTTTTTCTGAACTCTACTTTGTCTAGTATTAATAAACAGTCACTTCAGCTTTATTTTTAAAATTTACTTGTTTTAATGTCTTTTTCAACAGCTATGTTACTTTTAAATTGTAAAAATATATAATGTACTCTTTTTGCCTTTTTAAGTGTACAGTTCAGTAATGTTAAAAATACCTACATTGTTGTGCAATAGATCTCTGCAGCTTTTTCATTTTGCAAAACTAAAACTCTGCCCAGAGTGACTCCCAATTCCCTCCTTCCTCTGCCCCCTCTTGCAGCTACCATTCTACTCTCTCTTTCTGACTTTGACTACTTTAGGCACCTGCCCTAGCTTTCTGATGATGTATGCATGATGTATATTTTTTGATCTTTTCACTTAAAATGTTTTTGAGTAATAATTCATATGACACAATTCACTCAGAGTATAATTCAATGGTTTTTAATATATTTACAGACATGTGCAGCCTATTTTTTTGAGTTGGGCAGGAAAAATTGTTTCTAAGAACTCTACTTTCTTAACATTTATTTCTCCCCATATCAAATTCATCAGCAAATCTTATGTCTTTTATTTCCAAAACCTGTTCTAGATCAGTCCATCCCTCTCTGCCAACATTGTTTTCCCTGACCAATATACATAGATTAACCTTTAAAAATTTAAAAAAAATTCTTAATTCTGAATATGACAACTTAAATATGCCACTACTGTTTTAATTCTTTTGCTATTATCGTATGAATTATCATAGCTATTTAGTGTTCATTGTTTTAAAAAGACTGCATAAGGAAATGCTGAGAAGTGAAGCAATATTTATAACAATTTTCTCTACAAAAAATGGACTTGATCAAGTAAAAATGATGCCAGAAGAGCACTGGTGGAAATATTTCTAAGCATTTTACACATATAATTCTGGTTTTGTACATTTATTTCTGTTTAAAATAATGTTACCTTATTTGTTGTAAAATTATCTCTTTCAAGGGATACTTTCTAAAGTGTAGTTCTATTACAGGACAAATTGTTACATGATTCATCAATAAATGTTTAAAATCACTCAATATTGAAGACACTTGCTATTTTTATTTTCTATAACCCCAAACTCTATCATCATCGGAATCATTCTTAATTTCCCTTCTTAGAACTTCTCCAGATCTGTTACTTTTTCCTTAAGACTAAAATCCCAGGCAGCATTCTGGTCATAAGTATTGCCTAGGAGCATTGTATTTTGTTTACAAAATTCTTTCCTATTTTCAGCATTTTGTTGGCTGCCTTGGCCACAAGTACTCATTTGCAGCTTATCCTCAGTAGCGTGTTTGTGGACATTGACATCATCTGCCATTTTTTTCATTTACATTGCTTTGTGATATCCGAAAAAAAGAATGGATACAACAACAAAAATCCCAGAGAATTCTGAAGGAGTTTCTTCATTATTTTGCTTCTGTTAGAATAATGAGGAAAATCTCCATAACCCTACAATTTACAGGAACCTTTACCTGCTTACTGAATCCTCAAGCAAACCTTTGAGTGTAATCAGGATCGTTGCCACTTTTACAGATGAAGGTAATTTCCCTAAGTCATGGTGTCTCCTGGATCCGAATCCTCTGCTCTTGATGTATTATGTTGACTTTCCTACAACTAATCAGGGATTCGTTTGTTTTGTTTCCTCGAAACCATTTCCTCCATACCAGCTTCCCGCGGAATAGAAGCCCTTCTCCTTTATCATTCAGGGAATCACAAATTCTGTGTATTTTATTATACTATTATAATCAAGGAATTCTAAAGCATGAAATCACATTCAGGTAATAAATACATACTCACGGGTAAAGTAGTAAGTATGCACTTAACAGTCTCTCTCTCTCTCTCTCTCTCTCTCTCCACACACACACAGGTTTACCCCGTGTAAAACCTCGCGGCTGTCCTGTGCGTGTGTCCACGCCGGAGGAAATGGCCACGAGCGAGTTTGATGCCGCATGGACTGGATCTCGCGTTTGCTCCGTCCCATCAGGTGTCTGTTTATCCTTACAGGTGATGATGGCTGAGTGGCCTCTCTAAAGCCCTTTTGTCCTTTTAAGCCCCTGTCCCTCCCTAGTCTCTCCATCAACAGAATCTTCCGAAATAATTCTTTCTTCGGGACATCTTGGCTTGCCATTGTCACTTACCTGCCTTGGCTAGTCACGGACCCCTCTGGGCGTCCCTGAAATGCCTCCATCTCCATGAGATCACCCCACTTAACAGCGCCAGCTCCTCCTGCTTCATTAGGACTCTGCATCCAGTCGGATTTTGTTCCCGGACGCTCAGCGGGAGACGGTGTTTACTGGCTTTTCCCAAGATCCCAATTCTAGGCGCTTAGAGCTCGGCTTAGGCTCGCATGGGGCCATGTCCGGCCTTTTCATTCCCCACTCGGCGGCCGCACTTTCCTCTTCCAGCACCACGCGGGAAACCTCGGATTGCTCTCCTGTCTCCCTGGCCAACCTAAAGCGGGAGGCCGGCCCAAAAGGGCATTGGCGGCCTGCGCATGCGGACTCGGCGGCCGCCACACAAGACTCCCGCCGCCTCCCTTCCGCCGGCCGCGGCGGTTTGGAGCCCGCTGACAGCTCCACGACCAACAGACGCAGCCATGTCTTGTGCTTCCACGTTATCCTATCAGAGATGGGGCGGGGCGGCGGTCTGCAAAGCCAATCAGCGCCAACCACGACCCAGGCAACCCCAGCCGAACTGCGGTTAGGAAGAAGGTGATTGGACGGAGTCGGCGCTTGGGGGCGTAGCGTCTCTAGGTCCCGCCCACTACTGCCTTCCTCTGCTGGGTGCCTGCAGTCGCTGAGGCCTGAGTGAGAGCAGACGGCGGGCGGTGGTAGCTGCAGCCTGGGCACCGCGCGGGCTGGTGGGCCCCGCACCTTCCTCCTCTTCACCGCGTGCGCCCTCGGACATGGTGGCCCCCGGCTCTGTGACCAGCCGGCTGGGCTCGGTGTTCCCCTTCCTGCTGGTCCTGGTGGACCTGCAGTACGAAGGTGAGTCCTGCCCTGGCTCGTCTTGGGGAGCGGACTTCGGGTGAGGGGCCCGGGCACTGCCCCGCCGTGCCGGGCCGCGAGTCTCGGGTCGGTTCGGGGGCGGAGTTCGGCGCGGGTAGAGCCCGCAGCCCGGCCTGGGCCTGAGCCCGGTTTGGGTGGGGGCCGGCTCCCGGTTCCGGGTTGTCTTGGGGAGGAGGTGAGGGTACTGGCGGGCCGCGAGGCTGGGACAGCGGGTTTGGGACAGGAGCCAAACCGCCGGGGTCCCATGCCGAGGGGGGGCACCGGGCGGCGACTTTGCCAACGTCCTGGGACGGACGGACGGATGGATGGGGACGGGACGGCTGTTGCGTCCTGGCCTCTTGCTCGCTTGGGACTCTTGCTCGGCGCTGGGGACACTTGGGCAGTGGCGCTGGGAGGAGGCGGTAATGGTGGCCGAAATGGGAGACTTGTTTCGCGTTGACGTTCTGGGTGTCGGGGTGCGGGGTGGGATGGAGTGAAAGGCTGGGCTGGGGAAGGAACGGGGTCGACGTGGGCCGTTTTCAAGAGTTGACCATTCTAGGTCCGGACCTTGTGTGGCAGTTCGGTCGCTGCACTTAGGGTCGGTGTTGGGATCCCGGCGCCCAGGGCAGGACTCTGAAGTTTCAGGAGTTCAGTGATTGTTACTCTTCTGAGGCTGGTTCTACTTTTCCCAGATGAGCGCTTAAATTTCACTTTGGTCCTGAAGAATGTTGAACTCCTATTGGAATGTTGGTTTTTCCAACTCCTTAGCGAAAATAGAGGGCTGTCCCATCCTGGGTGTCAGCGGGGAGGGCCGAGAAGTAAAGCCCGAAGTGCCAGTTGAACGAAGGCTCCCTCCTTGCTTACTGTACTAAACGACCATGACACATCGATCACATGCACTGATGTATTTTCATCCCATAAATAGGGGATGGTTGTCGAAGAGGTCAATTAAACATTTGAATATTCCATTCAGAGGGAGTGAGGGACTGAAGTTGGGAATTATTTATAGATTGAGAAACCCTCTCAAACTTCTCCCTTCATTTCTTTTCTTCCCTTTGTAAGTTAGTTTCTTTTTTTTTTCTTCTTTCTAATGCTTTTCAGGTTTTTTGGTTTCCATTCATTCATGGTAGTGGGATTTTTTTTTTTTTCTTTGAATCCCAACTCAGTGTAGTGTGACAATATTGAAACAAAGAATTTGACACACTGAGGCTCTCCCAGAAAATTGAAGAATTGGAATTTGAAGACCTGGACCACTTTAATACGGGTCATATATTCCACTTTTCTTGCATTTTCTGATTTTACGTTCCATTATCATTAATGATTTGATTTGGACATTTAAGAGAAAGTTGCCTATGCTCAGTTAATGTCAATCTAAAAATTTTCTTCAAGTTGTAGAGATGCACACTTTTGTATGATTTGTTTTTGCCACTAGCGTGTGGACAGAATTTCTGTTCTTTGTATGATCTGTAAGCCTCTTAACACTTTATTTCCCTGCTGTGGTATTTTCTGTAAGAAAACCTCATCAGAAAGCTTTTCAGTCTAGGAAGCATTGGTGACACTTCTCAAGAGAGTGCCAGCCAGAGTGCTGTCTTCTTCAGGAGCATTGCCTGTGTAAAGTCGCAGGGACTTGGTGCAGATGATAGAGAAGAAAGGAAAGCCATCATGGAGCTCATTCGGGAGCTATATGGTATTATTTCTGCTTTATACATGTGGGAACTGAGGCTCTAAGAGCTTAATTGAAGTTCATCTTGTGTGGAGATAGATGTTAAATTGTTGACAGTATCATGTGGGTTCAATCATTTGTAAGTGGTGGCAGCTGAGAAAAATCTTTTTTTTTTTTTAATCTACCAGTGGTAATTAATAGGAAGATGATTTCCTGGTGACTTTAATACAGTGGTTCTTAAACCTGAGAACCTGAGTGCACATCAGAATCTTGCATGCAGAGCTTTTAAAAACAGAGCTCCAGGTACTATTTCCAGAGTTTCTGTATACTAGGTCTGAATGGGATCTGAAATTTTGCGTTTCTAAAAAGATCCCAGTGACCACAGTTGGATGTTATCCAAGTGGAGTGGTAAATTGTACATCGGAGTCTGCTCTATTGTATTAGGGTCTGCTATGTTTCACATCCTAGAATTGGTGATGGGGATATAAAGATAAGAAAGAACTTCTAACTTGAGTTGGCAAACTGTTAGCCTCTGCTTTCCTAAATAAATTCAATATGTTTACTAACCTCGTAATTCTTAAAGGGGGTTGGAAGTTAGATGATGCCTCTGCTAGGACTGAGATTTGGAGAGAGAGAATAGTGAAGGTGAAACAGTTTCACACTGTGAAGAATGTTATCGACAATTAACTTAGCTGGCATAGTTTTTTTCTGATTTAAATTTATTCTGATTAAAAATATTTGTTGTTTTCCTAACTTTCCTGTTGTAATCCAGACAAGGAAAGCATGTATCATGAATTGAAAGATTGTCTTTTAGCATCCCCTTTCTCAAAGGCCTTTGAAAGATGTATAAAGCACTGTTAGAAATAGAATTTTTGAAGCAGAAAGAAAACTTTAGTAGCATTTATTTTAGTATTCTTATATTACAGATAAAGAAGAAATTTCAGTTCTTTGCTAATGGCTTATTTATTTAGTGACTTAAGTAGGAACTCTGACAACCAAACCTTTTTTTCTGTTATAGTTTTCTTTTTCTTTCTTAGCATATTATCTACAACCAGTTTTTCTTTATTTCTTTTTTTTTTAATTTTTATTTTATTATTCATATGTGCATACAAGGCTTGGGTCATTTCTCCCCCCTGCCCCCACCCCCTCCCTTACCACCCACTCCGCCCCCTCCCTCTCCTCCCCACCCCCTCAATACCCAGCAGAAACTATTTTGCCCTTATTTCTAATTTTGTTGTAGAGAGAGTATAAGCAATAATAGAAAGGAACAAGGGTTTTTGCTGGTTGGGATAAGGATAGATATACAGGGCATTGACTCACATTAATTTCCTGTGCGTGTGTGTTACCTTCTAGGTTAATTCTTTTTGATCTAACCTTTTCCCTAGTTCCTGGTCCCCTTTTCCTGTTGGCCTCTGTTGCTTTTAAGGTATCTGTTTTAGTTTCTCTGCGTTAAGGGCAACAAATGCTAGCTAATTTTTTAGGTGTCTTACCTATCCTCACCCCTCCCTTGTGTGCTGTCGCTTTTATTCACTAAATTGAGCTGATTAAACCATATATTTTGGCCACAGAGAAAAGAATAGTTGAAAATCTATATGAATAAGGCTGGGTGTGGTAGTTCAAACCTGGGTGGCTCAAGCCTGTAACCAGCTCCTTGGGAGGCAGATCAGGAGGGAGGATCATGGTTTGAGACCATGGGCAAAAAAACTCCAAGATCTCATCTCAACTAATGACTGAGTGCCCATGATGTGCACTTGTCATGTCAACTGTGAGGAGAGGCACAAATAGTAGGATCGCAGTCCAGGCTGGCCAGGGCATAAAGTATAACTCCATCTCATAAATAACATTGCAGAAAAGGGCTGGTGGAGAATCTCAAGTGGTAGAGTGGCTGCCTAGCAAGTGGGAGGTCCTAAGTTTAACCCCCAGTCCTGCCAGAAAAAAAACCAAAAAACCAAAAAAAACAAAAAAAAAAAAACCAGAGAAAATCTATGTGAATAAAAGACTGTGATCATTTTTATTTGAACTACTAAAAGTGTATTTTTTCTTCTTTGGGATTTCCTTGACATTAGTTAAATATGAAAAGAGTAAATGAAAGTAGTGAAAATGAATAATTTTAAGCAGTTTATATAAAATAAGCCTTTCAGTATTCTTTAGTAAGATAGGCTATTAAGTTAGTAGAAGTGTCAAAATTCCAGTTCATCTGACTAGTTAGCATTTGCCAAGAGAGTGCCTGGAAACGCAGTGTTTTCATTCTGTTGGAGGAGGGAGTTCTGAGATGAAATGCAAGTAGTGATTAGGGTTTTTCCCATGTAAAGTTAGTTAAGTTTAGTTTCTATTGCCATGGTCTTCTTTCGATTAATTATTTTATCTTTTTTCACATGGAAATATCATGGGAACCCAGTCATCTGCTCTTTAGAACTCAAACATTTCAGTTGTAAATTTGCTTTCCCTATCTTTAGAGACTAGCTCCCTCTCTCTGTCTTTCTTTCTAATCTAGTGAGTTTGTGTCATTTGGAGTTCTGGAAAATAGAGAACACATTTAATCAGTCAGCAAAGGACTACACTGTGTTGCATTTTGGTGAGGTATATATAGTATAAGATTTATGATTTTGCCTTAGAGTTTACAGGTTGTGGAATATAAGGCAGGCATTTGTGAAATATCCATGTACTTTTTACCTCCTTTCTTAATTTGGGTTTAGTGGTTCATTGCTGTAGTAGTTACTTATTTGCAAATATCCTTTAATTTTCCTGCCCCTGCGTTCTTTGCCTTTACTCACGTGACAAATTCCACAGTCCATTAAATCAAACTTTTTTGTACCTCAGAGCTGAACACAGATGGAGAAAAACAACTTTGTAGTTAGTCTCATTTTAAGCACACAATCGCAATTTCAAATGCACACTCAATACTGCTAATATTCCTATAATTCCCTAGTATGCCTTTTCTTGAAAATCAGTATTTCAAACATTTTTCTCTATTTAAACCTCCAATTTAAATTCCCCTTTTCTTTCTTCTTTCACCTCATTCTTTTTTTCTTTTCTTCTTTTTATGGTAGTGGGGTTTGAACTCAAGGCCTCACACCTGCAAGGCCCTACTGCTTGAGCCACTCCACAGCCCAGGCTGGCTTCGAACCATAATCCTCTTGATCTCTCTGCCTCCTGAGTAGTTAGGATTACAGGCATGAGTCACCGGAGCCCAGCTACCTCATTCTTTTTAGATCTGGTTGTTAGAGCAAATGAAAGCTATCATAGGGCAACTTCTGTCCACTACAGGATTTGATAGCTTACCTGTATCTGTACTCACCCCATTACCTCTTCTCATATTGAAATGTATAAAACATCT